TATATATAAATTGCATTATAAAAAGTCACTTCAGCAAGTAAAACAAATACTTTTCTACTTCATAACAGTGATTCTCAGTAGAACAACAAAAAAACTGTGTGCAATTATTATAAATTCAAATAGTAAATTGAGAATCATTCATAATTTTTTATACGCCCGCGTTTTCACGGAATGATCATTAAAATTTAAATATATACAGTCATACAATAAAATAGCTGACTCAATAATGAAATGAACTAACGTTGAAACATCAGAAGGCACACCGCCCAAATAAAATACATCGGACACACTAAGCTCGAACATTGTACCAGGCGAATCGCCCTCCGCAACATCGTTATCATCGACCTGCATACGAGCATGACGTTCTAAGCGATGTACGTAGACAGAATGTGGTTTGCCATCATTATAATTGCTGCCAGTACTTGTCAACCTTCCGACTCCTGATCCGAAATCAAATGACAACTTGACTGAACCGTCTTGCAATTCGAGAGATAGAAAGTCACGCTAAAAAATTTAAACTCTTTTTGCAAAAAATATTCAAACTCTACAAGAAAAAATGAATCTTAAGAATTAGTAATAGAATGGATCAAACATACTTCTTTTCCCAAGTAAAACACTAAACCATCTGGGGAATATGTCTGGAATGTTAAAGAGAAAACCGTTTGCTTCTGAGGATTCCAAATCCCAAGCTTGTGAACAGCATACCCATCTCCGTTGAAGCTCAATGCTATAAACGAGTGATGCTTATATTTTCTGAATATACAAAACCACTTATATGAAATGGAAATAACATAAAAACTTGAAATCAAGTCTTTTAAACTAATAAGATCAATGTAACAAAAGTGTTTAATATAACTATCAGTGCAATGAAATTTAGAAAAGGAAACGAAAACGTTGAAGTTTATATCTCTTTTAGAGTTACAATTTTAAAATAAAACAAAAACAAACCAATTTCATCAGTCAACGACAAAGAAACATCTTTTTTCTTTGCACCCTGGACATTGTGATTACCTCCTTTTTTGGTATTCCAAAGACCAACAGTTTCTCCATGAATACGCAAATCTTCGATATCACCGTTAAAGTTACGATTGAGTATGTCAGATGAAATCTATGAATTTAAATATTTGAAATAATCTACAAATTTTTATTTACGTGTCATAAAAACAAAAGTTGAAATGATAAAACATGGCAACAAATAAGTTATCGTACTTTGATATCAGGAGCAATACCACCAACAAATAAACGACTCTTCTTTTGATGAAGATTAAGAAGTGATTTAGACCCAGTAAAAGTCCCAATTTTTTCCTCATCATATATCGCCGCATTTGGTGAAGACAATCGTAATTTGATTATTTTTCCAATACGTTCTACAGCAACTCTTCGCCAGTTACCATCCGCAACAAAACTAAAAAGAAATATAATGATTTACTTTTGAGCAGAATGATATATAAGGATTTTTTTTCCTAAATTAGCAATACCTATATTTGAAAATTGAATTTCTTGTTGTTTGTAATACTTAACTTCAGGTGAAAAATTGCTATCCAATATCTTTAAATTAAGTTCAAGAAAAATGAATTAAATAAACCATGAAAAGAAATAGGTTCGTTGTACATAGTAAATCAGTGCTTTTTTGACAAGTGATTTTTTCTTTGTGATTAGAATCATTCATGCTCATAGAAAATGTTATTGGACTTACGTATCAGAAATCAAATCTCTGGGTAGATCGCCAAGGTTAGCAACTGCTCGCAAACGACCTTTATGCACTTCAAGAGCAATATAATCATCGGTTGGAACGGCACGTGTCCCAGCAACTCCAAGTTCATTACCGAAGAAAAGCAACAAACCTATGAAAATATTACACATAGTTAGAAGAACATGTTATTAATGATACTTTCTGATAATTTCAATTTTTTTAAAAAGTTGGATGATTTTCAAAAACAGTAAAAGACTAAAACATACCATCAGGGCTAATCGTTCTGAAAGAAAATTCAACATTTGTATAAGCAGCAGAGCGTGTTATTCTTGAAGGAAGGGGCAACTCCAATACACTTCCCTTTTCAAAATGTGCGCCTAATTTTATCTGTAATTTGTATTAATTCAAAACAATTTTTCTTGCGAAGGAATCAGTGCAACTGCACACAATGTTTGATATTCATAAATAGGATAACTTTTCTTAAACAAACCCTATTGGCAAGATCTCGAGCAAGAGCAATTTTTTCCTTCAACAAATTCAGCTTTTCACGACAGCTTTCAACTGTAGTAGATGTATTGGAAGCTGCTTTGCGTAGCATTTTTAATTGCTTCATAATGGGCAAACTTTCATGTTCCAGCTAGAAATCAAACTTTCGAGGAACCAAACAAAATTCATTGAACTATTTTGAGCAATCACCTTGCTTATAGCCCCTCGATTAATTTAAAAAAGACAGTATTACTTCAAACAATATTTTTGCTTCAATTTACCTTTAAGATTTGCTCACGAGCAGTGTCTAGGGCATTAGCTGAAGATGACATTGATCCAACGATTTTTTTACTATGATTAACTACTCCTTCCAAATCAAGTTCTAAACCAACAAAGTCTTTAACAACATCATTAATTCGTTCTTTCACTTCTTGCGAAGTCTTCAAAGAATATTCCAATTTCCTATTCTGAAAAAATGATGGATTAAATACCCTTTATATTTTCTGCAATTAGCACAGTATGTTTCACTTGTGTTTTGATTAATACAGTCATTAAGCGTCAAACTTATGAAAGAATAAAGCTAAATAAATATACCATTTCAACGTCGTCAAATTTGGGTTGAAGGCTTTCAACGATATTTTTTTGCTTTTCGATCAGCGATGTCAGTCCTGTTGCTCGTTCATCAAGACTGGTTTTTAAACCGTCAACATCTTGGATACTTGAGTGTCTAAGGTCGACCACAGCATTGAGTAAGTCGACAGATTGCTCACGAAGTGTTTTTGCTGATGCGACCTATATTTTCGTTCTATACTTTTATCAATAACATTAATGAGGGTTAAATTTGTGATCCAAGCAAAAAATTTTACAGTACTTGAGACTCCTACCATTCCTTTAGCGTGAAATTCCTTAGCTTTTTGAGCATTTTCTAAAGCTTGATTTGTCATATTTTTTGATTTTTTGAATAGATTCATCAATTCTCTATATCCATTAGCAGCTGTCAAAGCACTTTTTGCTTCATTTCGAGTTATATCAAACAAAGCGGACAAATGCAGTGCTTTTTCCTCTAGCTCTTTCGATTTATTTAAATATTCAATCTGAAAAGATAATAAGTGTTAAACTAATAATCATATAACTTAATATAATTTTATTCAAATAAAAATGAAAGTTTTTATTTAACATTTGACTGCATGAAGATTGTGCAATAAATATTTTATTTATTGCATAATTTGATAAGGAGATAAACAATAATTTTATTTTGGTAATACTTCTTTTTTTTCTTATCCTCACCATAAAAATTTGAAATTTTCTATAGCCATTGCCAGTGAACAACAAATAACTTCTTGCAAATACAAATAAATAAATAACCTTATTAATGTGACGTATCTTTCGAAAATGATGTCCACCATGTGCAACCACTAATCGACCTAATGCATTCTGGACTTTTCTTATTGTATCGCCAAGTGTACTATTCAAATGGCTAAGAGAATCTATGAATATTTCTGAAGCTGAACTTAAATCATAGATAATGGCAAGTGCTTCTTTGATTTTATTGTCTCCAGCTTCCACACCAGCTTTTACAAGATTCATATCATATATTTTCGATCTGTTCAATCGCTGAAATAAATAACTTGAAAAAATTTGCAAAGCCAACTAGAACAAGTATTATCCAGTCACATACAGTAAGTAAGTCATATTTACCTGCATAGTATATCCGACTGATTTGTGAACTTGATCAAGAAATGATTGGTAATCTGTTATGTTATTCAACAACTCTTCCATTTGCTTTTTGATCCGCAAAAATTTTTCACGCACCTCACTGTTTTGATTTTTTTGCTGTTGCATGTGTTTGAGTAGTTTTTCCACTTCATTACTTGCATTATTTGCGTATTCCCTTGCTTTTTCACTAAATTTTTTAGTGAGTAAAATACGGAAATGAAAAGAAAAGTTTATGAACTTTCTATTTTTTAAATGGATATTTCTGATGTACTTAAAAGTATCTTTTCTATTTATCAAAATTGGAAGAAAAATTATTCATGGCAAAACAATATTACATTAATTAAAACATTGCTCGAAAATTCCTGATTGAATAAATTTTATTCAGAAAACTTCTGCTACTGTTATTCGTACTTGACATTAAGTAATGTTCATACTTGATCAATATTTGATCCAATATGCACCTTGAAAAAGTGAAACTTGCAAAAAAAGTTTGTACGAGCATTAAATAGTGTTGTCACTCATAAATTTTCCAATGTTCAACCTTTTAGTATCATCACGAATTTGTTGCAAAAGTAAACTGGAATCTCCTAGCCATTTCTGACGATCGACGGCACTAGAGTCTTTTCCAAGCGAAAAAGCGAGGTTTTTCAAGGAATCAACAACAGATGCAGCTTCTTCAATACGACGAGACGCATCTAATGTGAACTGCAATGAAACCTTGACAAAAGCTGTGAACCTATGAAACACAAAGAATATAACAAATTAATTGATAATTCGTAACTTCATCGATGAATTTGTAATTTGGTAGACTTTTTAATTGAAGATATCGATCAAAAATTTTTTTAAGTTGAAAACTGCTTCCAAACATTGGAAACTTTTTCTCATGAAAACAGTCATTTTTGAACTAAACATTTAATCTTTCTTTGCTTCTCAGCGATATCAAACAGTGTCATATTGGTATGCCATGTATTACTACTTGCTAAATTTGCATGAACTAAACTATGTTTTAAGCGATGAAACTTTTCAGTTTTCGTTAATATCCACTGATAAATTTAGAGCTAAATTAGTCACCAACATAATATAAAGCTGCTTCAAAACTTACTGGAACCAATTTCAAATTTATATTTATTTACGTAACATTCAATTCATGAACAGAAGCGTTACCAACATATTGATTAGTTTTACGCTCCTCAATATTTCTTAAATACTCAAGAAAAGATATAAAATTCATGGGTGTATTGCCCATAACTTACGATGCTGGTCCTATCAATAACATTGTGCAGATTATTATTCACGCTTTGCAGTACATCCAAAGACCGATTCGCTCGAACTGATATGTCGACTACATCATTTGTTGCATCTAAGAGGCCGTCTGTTAAATTCCCAACACCCAGGTCGAATACTGACCCAATATGATTGTCCAATACTGGCTTTAAATGAGAGATCTGTTTAGGATATCGCATCTTCTATATATTTTTTGACTGCTCGCAACGAACTTATTTAGAACTTTTTTCAATTTTAATAACTAGTTGAATTGACAAAAAAAAAGCTCTTGATTTCTACAAATTCGCTTGTTTATATCATTTAATAATATGCACTACATGGGAAAGCTAAAGAAATGGCAGCCAAAATAATTGAAAGAAAAACAAAATATAATTTACGCACTTGCAAATCGCTGATTTTTGTACGAATGCGCTTGAGATGAGCGCCTGCCAAAGCAGTTGTTGATATGTTATTAATGGTTCCATTAACAAAGGCAACTGTACTGTACAAATCATCCAAATCACGCACAACGGAATGAACACACTCATCACATACTACAAAAATATAATTCATTCGTTTCAGAAACTTTGATGATATTACAAAGCAAGATTAAAGGGAATCAACCAATTTTAAAACTTTCACTGTAGTCAAAAATTGTGATGAGACACATCAAATTAATGTTTAAATGAAATGCCTCAGTTCTTTAATCATAAACATACATCGACATCCAAAACTTGGTATTCGAAGGTAGTGTTCAGCACATTGGTCGCATCTAGGACCAGTTGCGCCTTCTTGACAATGACACTGTCCTGTATTTACATCGCAAACTGTTCCCATTGATAAATCAGCCTCACAATCACACTCTACAAACTTTCTCATCAACCTCCTTTTGGAAATTTATTCCAAATAGTAAATAAAGTACAGCCCCTCCTGTTTACATATTTAAAGCAAATTAACTTTTTCATTTTACTCTATCAAGCGTAATTCGAATCCAGTTATGTTTTTATTGATATATTTGGCTATATTATGGGTAATAAATAAAGAAGTAGCTTCTATAAAAATGATTTTTTAAATTTAACTAGATAAAGCAATTGAAGAATAAAATTAGATATGAATCCTAATCTTACTCTTAAAATTCATTTCCAATACACAAATTTTAGGTGACAAAACTTTTTCTTCCTGCTTGATGTTGGATAAAATAAAGCAAATAAATGTGAATCCAATTCATTTACTTCAAAAGAAAGCATTTCTTACATGATGCAAAACTTATGAAAAAAGTAGTGATAAAAACGAACTGGAGCATCCAGTAGAACCATAATTCCAATAACCATACTCGCAAATTTCGCACATTTGTCCAGCAGCTCCAGGCATGCAAGAGCATTGTCCTGTTTCTGCATCACACTGAGGACTCTGTGAAGCCAATCCACAATTACACATATTGCAACCATGACACTGTGAAAAACCCCATGCATTCATCTAAAATTAATATTTAATTTCAGTAAAAACCGCTTGTTTACCTTTTTTAATATTACTGTCTCCTCTTCAGCAAATAATGAATTTCGAGTATAGCATTATAGTGAAACTTACCACACAGTGATCGCAATTTTTTCCCTCAACATTTGGTAAGCATTCACATTGTCCCGATTTATTATCACATAATAAACTACCACACTGATTGCACATACAATCTGCAATAATTTTCTTTGAAAAATTAAACCTCAAGTTTAAGACTTTCAGAGGCACAAAATTTTTAAAAATCACGTAGTTAAGAGCACATCTTATAAAGCGTTAAAAAAAGCAAAAAAACAAAAAATACTATTTTACACTTTTAAAAACTGTGTTGAGTTTGTTTCAGTAGCTATAATTTTGAAATATAGTTTAACATTCTCACTTGTACAATTTTTTGCTTCGATAGCATCACCATAATACCATGTTTGACAGTATTCGCAGTGTTCACCAGCAGTATTATTCAAGCAGAGATCACACTGACCGGATGTCGGGTGGCAAGAACCATCTATGTTCAAGTCATTATTATTGTTGCAATCACATTTTTGACAAACACCATTCACCGCTGTCGGTTGACCATAATAGCCAATATCACATCGGTCACAGTAATCAGATGTATATCCTTCTTTACAAGTACATGATTCTAACATGCCCGTTTCACTTACCTTCAAAAAAAATTGGTTAATTGAATTTTTCCATAATTGACTACTCCAAATTTTGATATTTTTGTCTTCATATTTCCAAACCTGACAACTGATCGCAAAGTTGTTTCCTTCAGTAGCATAAGGACAAGCACAAGGTAAACACGAATAAGGTCCTCCTTTAGTAGCATCACCATAAAATCCAATACGACAAAATTCGCAATGGTCCCCAAAAGTGTCATGCTGACAGTCAAAACAAATTCCAGTGTCTGCGTCACAACTTCCAGAGTGACCGCTACAATTGCATGGTACACAAGCACCAAGATATCGACCATTATTAACACGATAATAACCAGGAGAACATTGCTAAAAAGCTTGTAAATGATATTGTATTCATAAAAATTTCATTCCTAACTTCAAAAATAGGTGAAACAAAGTCATAGAATTTTCGCACAACTTCTAAATTTATTAATATTCCAAAAATAAGTTTTCATAGTGATAACAAAATAAAACACTGTTACCTGACATGAAAGTCCAGTATATGGTGAAGGACACTGACATATTTCAACAGAAGATGCTGTATAACTATCCCCGTTTGTTTCTTCATCTTTTGCTATTTCAAGCTGCAACTCACTAACTGAAGCCGATTCGCAGTTTGTATAATAACAAGCTTTGATTCTGAGCTCCTCTAAACTGTGCAAAACCATCATAAGAGTTTGTCGTGTTGTTGGTTGTCCCGTTGCTTCCATCAGATTTTCCTGAAATAAATAAAAATTCCTTAACCAATTCATACTTTAAACATAGCAAACTCTCAAAGTAAAAATAAAATATTTTCATTTAGTAACAGTTCACTTAGTAACGTATATAAAATTTACCGGTAAAAGCTTCATTTCGACAATAAAGGGTATTCGTGGATTAGCTGGTTGCTCTCGAGCCCAAAAATCCAAGGTAGTGTTGTTACCAACAATTTGAATATCCGGTGCAGAACTCATTGCAGTCTCATTTTGCTTAGGATCAGATGATATCATGAATGAAAGCTAAAAAATATCACACTAAACATTAAAATGTTACAGAGAGTGATAGTATAATCTGATGACAGTGAAAGCAAAATCTTAACCTGTAAACCATATGAAGTAGTAAAGTCATGGTTGGATCCTATTGGAGCTAAAAAATACACATCATCAGAACTATCGTTTTCTGCATGATATACAACTCTGCCATTCGAAAGTTTTACTGATTTATTAGGATACACTTTCCATGCTTCTTCATCAAAATTCACCTTAAAAAATCAAAAATTATTTCAGTTCCACATTCAACCTTTTCATCATCGACTGTCCTGTATTTCTTCAAATAAATAAAAAAGAAAACAAATGAATCCTTACAAAAGTAACAGGAAGAAATGAAGATCGACAACGATCGGTAGCACCAAAACAGAAACATTCTGCGCAACCTTCAGGATTCGATACACGTAAATCAAAGGCACCTGTACGGCAAGTATCACAATTTTCACCAATTACATTCTTCTGGAAATGAAATAATGAAGTCAATAAATTAAAATGAATAGTACAATACTAGGAAAAATTAACTTACCTTGCATTTACATGTTGCACTAGTTGCCTCACATATCTCTTCTGTTGTGCCTTTTATCTCACATGCACATTCGTAGCAATGTGGAAAACCATAAAATCCAGGTAAACATTCATTGCATTTCCTGCCACCAACATTTGCCTTGCATCTTTAATAATATTTTTAGAAGTGTTAAAATATAAAAGGCAGAAAAAAGCAAATATAAAGAATCTAGAAAAAAATATCAACAACTAGCATACAAGCATTGTCCACTGTCTGGATCACATTGAAGCTGCTCTCCTTCTGAACCATTTTGATGGCAGCCGCATAGCTGACAGCCTATTAGAGGATCATAACCGAAAGCATACGGTACGCAGCTATCACAATTCTTTCCTTCAACATGAGGTGGGCAGAAGCATTGTCCAGTTCTCTCGTCACATAAGTGATTATCAGGACATCTGCATTCTAAAATTAATTAATTAATACAAATGAATACAACTTAAAAAATTATATACGAATTTTGCAGATACGAACTTATGCAATCAGGAAAACTATAATAGCCAGAAGCACAACGATCACAACGGCGTCCAATAATATTCGCACGACATGGACATTCTCCACCATATTCTTTACACATGAAACTTGTACTGCCTTGTGAGCTACATTCACATGGAAGAGCAGCCATATTATAATCTGATGTTAATGAAAACACTTTCTGACGACAGTAGTCACTGATATTTGACGGACTAAAAAGGACAGCACTGAACATTCAATTTCATTTCTAACAATAACAATGAATTAGAATGAAATGCGATAAAAACAATGTCTGTAATATATTCCCTCTTTCAAAAACTTTATTTTTAAGTTTTGATATGATTAATATTAATTATGCTCTTGCGTTGAGTCTTGTGGACTTATAACAACAATACTCACTCATTTTCAAAGTTATTGGTGTTGCACTCTTGTATGTATTCATCAGACAAATCCATAGGTAATGGAGACAATAACGTACTGCTGTACGAATTAAATGGTAGAGACGTTATCGAGTCCTACATAAAACTGAATGTATATTTCTGTGATAGGAGTGACAGAGAATTAATAACAAGATGTTATCAATATAGATATGGTTTTAATATTAAATAAATTATTGCACAAATAAATCATGAAACTTAAAATCCGGCTCAAGTGCATGACCAGTTTAAAAAACTAATTGCCATGTTTTGAACAAATGAAATTTCATCAACTTACAATGTATATTGGTCCTTTTTGCCTTTCACTGAAATAAAATGAGGCTGTATACTTGTCTTCTATAGCAAACTGTATCACATCTGGTCGTTCTTTGTCTCTTATAAGAGTGCGACAACCAATAACGCTTGGGCAATATGAGAACGGCACTTGCGCTGAAAAAATATTAATAAACATTTCTTTTTATAGCTTCACTTGAATTTGTAGACATTTTAAGACTTATATTTTATATAACCAAATTACATTTTAAACTTTTCTCTTTACAACCAGTGGTAAAAATACAAAATATAAAGAAAAAATTTTTGCTTGATTTGATAAGCACCGTGATGCACGTGTCCATTCTGTAACGTCACGTCAACAGTAAGCAATGTATTATCTGGATTAAAATACTGCACAATGAAGACATAATGACCATGAGAAGGTACTACACCAGTTACTTCTACAGTACCCTGAAAATAGATAACAATGTTACATGAGCGTAATTTTGAAAGCGATTAGATACAGAGTTTTTGATTTTCAATATTTTTTCGTACCATATTTTCATCCAGAGCCATAACTTGCACATCCCTCGGATTAGCAACCGAAAATGGTAATTTATCTCCACTAATTGAGATATTTAAATTCATTTGCGACTCAGCCTCACTTACAATACCGTTAGCAGCTGGAGGAAACCACTGGCTTACACACTGCCCATTTTTACGAATGCATACAGAAATCTGCAATTTATAACACAAAAAAATAATGATGTCTTTTAAATGAAATGAGGAACATCTAAGTACATATACTTAAATAATGAAAAGTGATACTTACTTGCTGAAGATAATCAACATTCCAATCTTTTGCATTAACAAGGTAAGCTGTAGCTAAACCAAATTCATGATCCTGCTCCACACCGAGTATAACAGTTACATTATTATCATGTTTTAAAGCTACAGATAGAACACTGCCATTAGATGACACTACTTCACGACAAAATGTTCTGCAATATTTGAGTGTCTAAATTTCATCACAAAAGTGTTGAAAGACAGAAATAAATAATATTACGAATAATGAGAATATGGTCATGGGAAGTTATGTACAAGAAAATATTCCTTATTATGCACTTCAGAATTTCTACTTTCAATTTTTTAGAAAATCAAATAGTCTTGAATGTATATAAGACTTACGAATATGGGCAATTTTTTAGAACAACAGTTCCATTCATCAAAAGCCTTCCATTTTGTTGTGCTTGCACAATTAATGGGATCGTTTTCACATTGGCATTATGATATTCTAGTAAAATAAGATAATCATCATCCTCTGGTACCTACAACAATTAAAATACAATATTTTGTGAGTAAAAAATAAAAATTAATGATATAACAATATTGAGCATAAAAACCGAAACCTCCAAATATATGTAAATTTCGCGATCCTCATCATCAGCTCGTATCAAACCTGCATGTCCAACATTAACAGGCAATTTCATTTCAGAAATCTGCAAATTTCCCGTATTAGTTATGTCATTACGTCATGAAAATAAATTGTTTCAAGGAAATATCACATCATGACAATTGCTGAAGTATGCTATCAATTATGAGTACATAAATAAATTACACTTGACCTTTTCAAGTAGTGACATGCTGCCATTTTTTTGTTTCTGCATAAATGATCCGTATCCCGTTATATCCGCGCGTGAAGTAAATGGAAATGGTGGATAAAGCATGTCAAAGCATGTAGTATTATGTGAATCTAAGGCATGACATGGTTCAAAAACACGCTCTTTTAGCACCGTTCCTTCATAATATTCTGAGGGTAACAATACGATATGGTCCTACAAGTAGTTCAAAAATAAAGAGGATAAATCATGAAATAAAATTTCAATTCACTAAAAAATATTTTTACCAGAAATAGACGTTGTTTAGTAGAAATCTTAATGCGCCATTTTCCAGGATTCAATACGAATGGTTGCTTTGGGTTGACTGCAATGGTTAATGGTTCAACTGCTACTGGGAAACTCATACGACTAATTTGCTCCACATCTATAACATATGAGATGAGCCATAAGTGCCAGCTTTACAAAATAAAATAATCAACAGTGAGAACCAATTAGAAGCATACCTTGCGTATGTGTGAATAGAGGTATGACTGTTATTCGAACATTAATTTGGATATCAGTTGGATTAACATAATGTAAAAGAAGACGATAGAGGCTAGCTTTGCTCACTGTTACATCCAATAAAACATCTTCTTGAATTGGTGAAAATACTACATATCCTTTCCAAGAATAATTTGAAAATTTGCTTGTATCAGTAGCAAAACGCACAGGTTTGTTCTCAGCCGATAAACCATCTTCTGCTTCATACTTTAATTCAAATTTATTACCAGTACCACAATGCATACTAATTAAGTGTTACTTCACGACAAACATCTTTGAAAATTTAAGAACATGGGAAATTATTAAGAAATTAGCTTGTATTTTAAAATATACAATGCAATATAAAATCAAGCATTAGCTTGACGCAATGAAAAAATTAGACAAAAATGAGCATTCGACAGCTGACAAAGCAAAACAACTGCATAGCATAATCATTTTGATGAATGATTAGACTGCAATACGACTGAATGAAAGATTTTTAAATATAAATAGAAAAAACATATCAGAATTTCACTCACTTTATTGTGCCATAATGTTGGGAAGTAATGATTCTGTATAGGTTTATCACATTTTTGCCCAGTAATTCGCGGACGACAACGACATTCCCCTGTTTCCATATCGCAACTAACTCCAAGTGCTCCTCCAATATCACACTTACATGCTAAAACTTGAATGGTATCAGTTCCCAAACATTTTCAGAGGCTTATTAATTACAACCAGTTAAATATATAAAAACTCTAAATTTCTAGACTTTTTCTCACCCTTGCATCCAAATTTATTATGCGCTTCCAGCTGGAAAAATCCATCTGCGCATTTTTCACAGCGACGACCTGCGACGTGTCGTTTACAGTTGCATTGCCCTTCGACAAGAGTACAATCATTCAACTCAGAAATCGTACCAGCCAGATTACATTCACATTTGATACAACCATTTTCATGATGGTATTGTAAGTCCCAATAAGTTGGCTTGCACTGATCACATATGCGACCAGTAACATGCTTTTTGCAGGTGCAGAGGTCTCCAGGTGCAACTTGGTCGCAACCAGCAAAACTTGTCACTACCCCTTTGGGATTACAATTGCATTCTGAAAAGTATTTTTAATTAATAAATGATAGCAATTATTCAGTGAAATTTAATAAAAAAAATACCGCTTTTTTCAGAAAATAAGCATAGTAATGAATTGAATATATGATATACCTTCGCAAATCGGGAAATTATAAAAATTAGTTTTGCACTGATCACATCTCTGACCTTGAAAGTTCGGCTTACAATAACACTGGAAATAAGTGGGTGAATAATGAAAAGAAAACTAAAATGAAAATTTTCTGTGCACAACTAATTTTATAAATAATTAACAATATGGATTATTAAGCAAAAACTGTCTTGGTAAAAATAAAGAACTATCAAACCTGTCCAGTGCTGTCACAGGTCATTCCTTTGGAACCGGTAGCTAAACAAGAACACGGTTTACAATTAGGATAATCATAAAACCCTGCCGCACAGCGATCACACTTTTTGCTTGTGAAATTAGCATAACAAGGGCAATCACCAGTTTTACGATCACATTCTACTGATCTTGAGCCTTGTTGATTGCAGCCACATTCTAAATGATTAAAAATTCCACTAGAGTTAATTTATATTATTATAATGAATGACTCAATACTTCAATAAAGCAAAAACAATGATACCTTTACAATGTGGATAGCCATAATAGTTCGAACTGCACTGATCGCATCTTGAACCAGAAAACCCTGGTTTACATAGACATGTACCTGTTTCTTTATCACATATACCATCTTCCGTACCACTAGTATCACAATCACAATCTGAATTTCAGATTAAGTGCCTTGATGAAAAATCATGTAAACTCTGTGAGTAAAAAGTTCGTAAATTTTATCCATATAAAAAACATACATTCACATCGAGAATGATCAAAGTATCCATCGGCACAACTTTCGCAATTAAGTCCAGCAAAATTTGCTTTGCACATACATTGTGCAGAGCTTTCATCACAGTTATTATGCAACGATCCAAATTTACTACATTTGCAAGCTGAGATTAAAAAAAACATAGTTATTCCTAGAGAAATCGAAAAAAATTATATGGTAAAACAAAAAATTGATTTCAAATGATAAAAAATTGAGCTGTCAGAGTTATTTAAGATATTTTTTTGATCCGGATTTAAAAGCAAGTACTTACCAACGCAACCACCAGTAATGTTGGTATAACCTGGTGCGCATGAATTGCAAAGATTTCCTACGTAATTACTCTTGCACGGACAACGTCCATTAGTGGGCTGAAAACTTGCTTATATTTTAAAAAATTGAATGACTCAAAAATGCTTTGAACAACACTATTTTAAGGGAGAACACATTTGATTTACATATATCCCCTAGTGTGATAAAATTGAAATTCATGTCATAATCAGTCTAGACTACAAGTTTAATCAAAACAAGTCAAGTTCTATGATAAAAAGTAAGAATAAAAAACCGAACAAAATTTGGAAAACAATAGTCAAATGAAGAGTTAAAGAAGAAAAATGATTAACCAAGCATATTTTATCCAATGTGCCATTTACTGAGCAATCACAAGGTTTACATTCTGGTGGTGAATAATAACCAGGCGCGCATTTGTCACAATTTTTACCAGTGAACTGATCCTTACAAAAGCAATGACCTGTTTCATCTTCACAACCTCCAGAATGTTTTTCAGGATCACATATACAAGCTGAAATATAAAAATGAGCATCTTTAACAAGTTAGAATGGATTTTATGAAATTTGAAGAAAGAGAATAGTTTTCAAGATGAATAAATAATGGCAGCAAAAACCTCTCATTTAACAGTCCATTCTTTTTTTATGGTGTAAAAAGGATTATTAAAGAGGCTGCAAATACTTTCATTTATTTTTCAAAATTGGAAAAACTTACGCTGGCACACATCTGTTTGATTCCAAAATTTTCCTTTCGGTCGATAATATCCATAAGTGCATTTGTTACAGTTTATGCCTTCTGTATTATGCTGTAATACACGTTTACTTTGTTAAATCAACAACGGCAAGATAACTGCTCGATGAAAATTAAAAGCAGAAAGTGAATAATCAAAAGTCAAACTGACAAACTTTGCAATTTAGACAGCGACCACCACCTGCGTAATTTCCATGTATATCCAAACTTGCATGTATTTTATCAAGTTTTTCTTCATAAACACATTCATCACTATGACCATGACAGTTACATGCTATAAATGACCATCCAAATGAGTAATTATTGTAAGACAAAAAAGCATAATTATATAAAATGATGCTTAGTATAATATTCAAAATAAATTTTGTGAAGAAAAATGCTCTGAATCTGCTCAAAAACAATTTTAACATGAGCTATTTTAATGCAAATTTTATTAATTTTGACAATAACATCAACTGTTCACAACATCTACTTAATAAAGTAGATATTTAAACTCTTTAAATCAGAGAAATTCTAATACACAAATTTAGAGACTAACGTTCACACACAAATTCAGCTCCTTCTTTACTACGTTGCCATCTTTTCTGCTCATATCCTGCACAACAGTGTTCACAATGATCTCCGCAAGTATTATGTTCACATCTACAATTCATCTTTAAAACATAAACGACTAATACGGTAGAAAATGATAATAACTCACTGATAAGATTAAGTTTTGTGCTTCATATGAGGTATTTTCTTCATTTCAAGCGCGATAACCAATACTTTATTTTTTGATGCTTGAGTTTACGAATGCTTTTCTTTCTTTATTAAGGCGAAAGGCTTTATTTTTCTTAAAAAGTTAGTTCTTTATTTACTTCTCAAATGCATATTCATCTTGAGATTTAGACTCAAAACAGCGTTACTTTAACAGATGTACTAACCGGCAAAGGAGAGTGTTAGAACGTCTGATGTCAAGAATATCACATGTGTCTGCGTGCCCGTTACATACACAACGACCCCCCATGAAGATTTCTTTGATCGCATAGAAGTACTTAAATATGATTCAAAAAACTAACAGAATTTCAACATGCATATCAGTATGAATGAAAATTTATATTAAAAAATAGTTTCTTTCCTTATTTCATGTCAAGTGAAAAAAAAAAAAAAACTCAGCAACAATACAACAAACTTACTCGTCGTGTGACAGTTGGATCACGACGATTAACATCCATTAAATGTCCATGCAGTGTTTTAGTACGTAAAAGACGAAGGCGTACATTTGTTGCGCGAGTAAAATTTTGCAAAACTTCAGAATGGCTAAAGTTGTGCTTTCCAGGGCGATTCTCAAGTAAGTTGATCATTATCTGCAAATATTCATCTTTTAATATAGTCGCCTTTTGAGAATCAATTCAAAACTTTCAAGTTTTCCAGTATTTATAGCACAATAATTATTCCCATCCATTTTTATTTATATTATAAAATTTTTAATGCTAATTTATTCTCACGCAATTTTATTTAAGATTACCTCTGCATTTTCCATTGGATGAATACCCGAAAATTCATGTGTGCATATTACAGTATCATCAGATACTATTGGTTGTAGCGTATGTCGCCCAAATAACTGAAATTAAAATGTTGCAATTACTGACAAAATTGGTAAAATTCAAACTTCAAGTACATTATTTTGTAAAAATATTACACAAGTAACAAAAGTAACTAACACGATCGCATTCTGCAGGTGTTTCTGCAAAATACTGCCATGGGTTATAAATTTTTCCGCCATCAACAGATCGTTCTAGCACCCATGATCCGGGCCGAGGGCTGTTCGCCATTTGAATCCATACATACGCTACGTGAAATTCCTTTAAAACTTGCCAGATTTGTTGTTGTTGTTTTTATGTTTTCAGTTGCTGATTAAATGATAAAATTTTTTAAAATATTTCATAAATTTCATAATATTCTTATTATTTTTCACGCCTGAAAAATTGGAAAGTTGTCTGAAATAAAGCAAAAATTAGGAAAATCTAAAAATATTTGAAGTTAGACTATTTTAAATTGTACACGCTAAAAACCAATAATTTCCCTTCTTTTTCATGGTTTCCAGCAGTGAACCATCAAAGAATTTACCTGTTCAAGATCAATACTTATGTTAACTTGATTATATTGCATGCCTCTACTCAATGGTGGGCTTTGCCACCAACTTGCTCGGCCATCAACCATATTAGTAGCTGGATGTGCAAATGAACTATTTGCTTGGCAAAAATCACACATCTGTCCACCCTATAAGCAGACGTTTCCGTGAAGTAAAATAAATTGGTCAAATTAAATGTATAAACAAAAAGTGATAAATTATAACGAATGCAAAAACAATTATGTGATATAGTTTTTGCAAATTATTAACTTGTAAAGCAGATGGCTATATTTTGTACAGTAAGCTGCAGATTTTCTTCTGTTACAGAACTGATGAAACTTCGTGAAAATAAAAACTTGTTTCGGCAATAATGAATTATTAGTTTGTATTAAAAAAATTTTGACCTGAACAAAAGATTGCTTTCCCATTTTAAGCTCAGCAAAAACAGAAATACCATCTTCACCCGTACTGTATGAATACTGATTCAAAGGATTGTACTGACTGGAACCTGAAGATGACGGATCATGACTGCAGTCTTGCTTAATGTAAGCACAGTGTTTATTTTTTTGAATTTAAGATAACATCCAGTTTGATAGTAAATTATCAGAAACAAAAACTTACCAGCTATTTGGCAATATATTTCTTTTATTGGTTGTCCAGTGATCTCACCGCATGTTGAGGATGCCTCAATTTTTCTACCAAGTGCCAAATTGGTGTACGGTGGTACTAACACTTGACCCTTGATCAAATTTGCCTCTACTGCCACCAACAGCAGCAGCAGCAGCAGCAGAAACAACATTACCAGTCTGCAGTTTTAAATTTTATTTGTCATTAGGAATAAATGAATTCAAAGCAGTCATATTAATAGACCAAATAACTATTCCTTAACATCTCACTGATATTAAACTTTATATATTTATGAAAATTTGAAACCAAAAAAAATTTGTGAAAATCACTCTAGAAAGGTATAACAACATGAAGTCATAATAATCATTTCATTATTGGTTATTATTACATAAATTGAATTATCAGAAAAACAAGTAAATAGAGTGGTAAATTAAAAATGCAGAATTTCGAGTTATAGTCATAAATAAACATAATTATAGAATTTCCATAAAATCAGAAAGCACAATGATGGAAAGAGTAGAAATAAAGAAATATTATATTTTCTAATAATTACATGGTCATGAAAGAATAACTTTTAGCTTATGTTGCACAAGTAAATTGAACTTTAATTAATGAAAACAAACTATAAAATGAAATAACAGTTTAGTTCAGCTTCAATTCAGTGCACTAAATTAGCAGAAATATTTGATAATAATTCTGAAGTGAGAACTGGAGACAAGATTTTAAGACAATATAAATATTAAAGTTTTTGTAGTCTTATTTTAGAGATTGCATTCTTTAAATTTGAAATAAAAAAGTATCAAAAAGTGAATAAACTTTTGAAAGGTCTATTTAAATTGAGTATTCTCAACATAAACTAAGAGGACTTACAAATTGCGCAAACTCCGCGTTAAATTTCAAGTTTTATCTATGAAAGAGCAAAGATTGTCAATCCCTTTGAAATATAATTTGCTTTCCCACTCATGTAAGTTTATTAGCCTGCATTACAGTAGTTGAAATAAAAATTTATGATAATCAAAAATTATTACGTATAAAAAGCAGTGAACGAAACGATTCATCACATATATTTCAAATAGATCGTATTATTAAAGGTATTCAACCCGCAGAAATTTTACTCCACTAAACTGCAAGCCAAAACTGATCACATTCATATTTTGATCTTAAAAAAGCATTCTTGAGAGTTGTTTAACTTCTGAATGAAAATGTATATACTACCAAAATGAACTAATTACAAGATGAATACGTCCATCAGTTTGCGTGGTACTGAGATTTATTTTTCATTATCATTCCAAAATCCAAAATGAATCAAATATATTTCTATCTTCAATATGCCTCGCTAAAAACTACTTTTTTTGGGGTTTTGCAACTTAGTCACGAAATCTTAAATGTGGCTGGTATTGAGTAATGTCAGAAGAAGTTTTTCTTTGTGCTAAATCTTGTTATCTTATTAACAGGAAGTTGAAAATTCACCTTTACTTCATGTTTAGCAAAAATAATGTCAGATTCGATAGAAGGAAGCATAGAATATTTCTAAAAGACTAGAAGACTGCGATACTAATTAGACATATGCTTTAAGTTACGTCTTGCCACTAGCAGTAAATGAATGCGATTAAAATGATAGTTATCTGCTGTGAGCATTTCAAGCAAAATTAGCCGAGTGATTTTGAAAGGATTACATCTGTTCCAGATGTTTGTCTATACATAATATTCTTTCAAAGTGATTATAGAAGTCAGTTCATTTAACTTTCAAAGTTTAAGTTTGCGTACTAAAATATCTATCTCACACTGCTATAAAATACCTAGTAGAGATTATGCAACGGTAATGTAGCTAAATTTTGTCTTTTTTATTTTTAGTGTAATTTTTAGAATAACTCTGCATCTATGCATTTATGATGTAAGCGATGAGTATTATTACATAATGATGCACAAAAAATGAAAATAAGAAAGTGAAGTGAGCAAAAATTGATGAATCCAAAAATTGGTATAGTAATTTCAAACTTTTCCAAACAAATTGCGACTTAATAATTACTTTGAATTTAAATTTTGAGAAAATCAAAAAGCTATTTGAAAATTGAATAAAGTGAAAAATTTTTGGTAGGGAAATTGATAAAATTTATAGCTATCACTTTTTCTGGGAAGAAGTGAAATCATTAGATAGAATGGAAGATTGTTGATAAAAGAAAAATGGTGAAAGATATGAGGGCGAGTGACCGAGCAACAACTGAGGTCGAGTGAAACACTACTTGTACACTCATATGCATATACATATCATACATACGCACAACAGATATGCGCATAGACACTCATATATTTATTCGCATACACAACATAGAGATACACGCAAGCACGCATTTCCATTTATACGTACCCACGCATAACATATATTTATATATACATATATTTATATATATAGAACAGAACAGAAAATTTTAAAGTATTATATGAAATTGAATTTTTGCCACTGCTATTTAAACAATATAAACTTTAAAAATTTATTATTGTAAATCTAAATATTGTCTAAATATGCCATCAAATAACTTGGTATAAATTTGATTATAAGACAAGAATTAATAGTAGAAAAGTATTCGATAGGAACGAGAAATGTTAATCATATATTGCAGTTTTTTACAATTTCTTAAACAAAAGATTGTAAACCGAATGATTATTGCGATTAGATCATGCTTTTCCTATTCTATGCTTTCTTCTAACAGAAAAATACATAAATTAGAACGGATTTTGTTAACGAAAATATTTATAAACCCTTTTATTCTAGCCGATATAATACAATATCGAAGCGCAATCATGAACTTTATTTAATAGGAACACGATTACTCCAAGCTCTGTTCATTTTATTTCTCCCAAAACATCAACAATTTTGATTATAACGGTAAAATTTCGTATTAATAAAACACTATTGTATTGATAAATTCTTCATTTCATTTCTGAATAGGCAAGCAAAGATTAGTTGCACAATCAGAACCGACTATATTTTCAACATTGAGAGCAGTTCACCACCATTAACTTTAAATGACTCTCCTAATAAACGCAATTCTGCATTATCACTGAATAAATACTCAAAGATTGATGGAATATGATCGGACTCTCGTATTATACACAGATTTCATAGTTTATAGAAGAGGTGAGAAAAAAAAACTTGGTGCATTAAAAAGCAATTCTTGACGTCTATTTATCGATATAACTTTTAAACTAAATAGCCTCCTGGTAACGTTTGTTTATATTTCGTTGTAGTATAGATAAATCACACATATACCTTTCGTCTGTACATTAAATATCGCTTGAATTTTTTTATAGCCTGAAACCAAGCTATTTATTTTACCAAAACAAAGTTGTACACCGAAACATTTGGTAAATATTTTTTTCAAGTACTGTATGAATTTCAGAACTTTCCCCTCCCCTAATCATCATTTAAAACATTTCATTATGTATTAGTGAGTATCACTTGTGTTAGTTAAAGTCAGAATAAACAGAAGATTTGGACTGTTTTACTATTCAAAACGAAGATTCTTCGGTAATTTTAATTATTTTTGATGATCATCCAGTGCGTTAAATTCGTTTCAAATTTTAATCTGTGACACAATGAGTAATAATATTTGAATAATTTTATTGCACACTCTGAATTATAATACTTCACATTAAAATGATTGTTTGTCTCCTCGCTTAAAACTTTTCTGCTTTCTGCACAATTCAATGACTTTGATCCGTTCCATTTCTAATTCTTCCAACTTTGCTTTCTTCTTCATTAAGTTACACGTGTTTTCACCATTATCTGATCCATTCTTATTCTTTTCTTGACTTTCCAAAACATCGTGAATACATAATGATTTCCAGTTGTTCTGAAACAGCTGACATGGAATAGCTGAAAATTTTATATCACTTTAAAAATTACGATTAACAAAAGATGATACCTTTGTGGAACCTAATTTCATCTTCTGGCGAACAGTAACTGAAAATTCAGGCGGAGCATCATAACGAGTTCCGAACGGTATGTATTCTAAAAAATGCACACAAATCATACTTCGAATAAATTATAATATGGCATTCATGAGTAATTAAAAAGCCATAAAATTAAGTAAAAGATTTAAAACATGAATAAAGAATGCAGGTTCAAATCCACGCAAAAAAAAATTGGAATTCATTAAGTGAAACATAAAAGACCTCTTGCATTTAATAAAAACTCTTTCGAGTCATTTTGCTTATCATCTTTCGATTTCTCGCAGTTTTTTCTTTTTTTCTTTATACTGCTTTGCTCATTTCCAGAATTATTGAAAACCGTTTCCTGTAAAAAATTTAATTGATAACGCATAAAATAATTTTTCATTGATCAGTGAAACTTAGTATTCACATGTAGCGAGTAATGATACTAAACAAAAACGTCTATTTCCAGCAGATTTACTTAAAAAATCTCCAACCTTAGTTACTGAAGTTGACATCACTACTCTTGAAAATGAGTTTGAATTATTTTTTGCTTGTTTCTGGATCTCTCTTTTCATTAACTTTTTCGATATACTTTTGTTTGATGTTTTGAGCTTTCCCTTAAATTTCTTTGCTGACACCGATTTACAATTTTGCAATTTTCGATTAGCAAATATACAATGTCAATACAACGTAAAAATTGACATAAATTAAAAATTTCGATTATTTAAAAAAATTAAACTATTATTTAAATTTGATGAAGACAAAAACTACTTAAAAAATCATTTATTAAAAAAATTTTTTTCACGATAGTGTATGACTCAAAAACAACTGATATGGCTAACACAAGTTTTTTGCAAGCAACAAAAATTTTTCAATTTAGTAAATAACAAAAAACAATCTACCATTTTTGGCTCCTCACAATGAGTTACAAGTTTCTTTCTATTGGCCAAACAATCATAGCCATCTTTATTTCGTTTCTTGGAACTATCCAGTTTTACTTCTAAAAACAAAATACTCTCACAAACTTAAAATAATCAAACAGATCTTGCAGTACTGTATAAATACCAACTTAATCATCAGTAAGAAATAATACATAATAAACAGAAATACCAGAAATTCTGTGTTTTACTGGTTTCTCATTTGTTGAGCAAAGGCTTTGTTCTATTTGAAGCTGTCGAAATGTGAGCGGTTGATCGTCTCCTATCGGTTCTAAGTTTTTACCTCTAAAAACATCAATACTATGCATGAAACTGAGCGTTATCAGCCACGACATATAGAGTATTTCAAAACATAACTATCTTATAGGTATACTTGCAAGATTTACAGTAAATAATTAAGTTGGTTTTAACAACGAAGTCTTCCCACGGTTTTTAAGTCCTGTATTAATCTCAAAATAAGTCCCATCTGCAAGCAATCTTTTAAATCGCTCATGAAAGCGTTTTGAACTGAAAAAACTCACTTCAATTTTGCTTCACGGATAGCATCACTATTTTTGTTAAACGGATCAACAGATTTTAATTTGTTCCTCTTTTTCTTCTGTATGCGACGATGAACCATCTCCACTTTATTTCTACTGAAATCATAAAACTAACTACTCTCCAGTAAACTTGCTTTTGCATTAACTATTTCCGGCACGAATAAGAGCAAACATCGCACCAGTCCCTTCTATCACTATGCAAGATTCGCTTGTTGTGGATATACTACTAACGAAACCACTTCACATTACCATAGATGTCATCGTAAACGAGCAACTAAAATCATCTACGCTCTCCTTGCAAAAAATACCCAAGTGTAATTCCACGTTAGGCACGATGAAACGATCCTGTAACACAGAAACCAAGCACAGAATTCTATCAGTCTTCAAGTCGTAGGGCTTTACATTGAAATTTATTAATTGTACAACAATGTTCGCTACGAAAAACGATATATTCAGTAGTTGTTTAACTCTAAAATGTCAGAGCTTTATGAATGAGATTTATTAAACTTATTATAACTTCACATAATTGATGAAGCTAACGTTTTTACACCATAAAACACATACAATGAATAAAACGCCAAAAAACTGAAATGGAACTAATCCTACAACGCAAACTGGACCCATCATATAAATTAATGGGTAAAACATGGGAACAAGATGATCATATAGTTGACAACAGTTCCATTTACAGATGTGCACTTCGAGATGATGCTTATACGAGAAGAAAATGTGAGCAAAACTGATTATCCATTCACATAAATTTTTGAGATACATGTCACTACAACTGAAACTTGCTTGAGTATATACTGAGAATTACATAACAGATCAATTATTGCGGAAAATCAATAGTATATTCATCATCATCAAAGTCATCAAAAGTTTTCATTAATTCAGAACACAGCAAAGTCACATGAAAACAATTTGATATTTTTATAGCAACTAACAAGTACGACATTAGAAAAACATTCCTGCAACGCCTCCCATTTCCTGTTGTTCTTTGACAAATATTTCAAAATACTGATATATTATTGTCACTGCCAGCAATATTCCCGTACCGCTACCAATGGCACCTTCAAAGGATTTGACCATATACTTTTCATAAGACTGACAGTAAAATAGTGGAACCAATTAACGGAACAAGTATATATCTTTTAAGTGAAACATAAGACTCAAACTTATAATTATTTCACATGTATTTTAATGGGACAACTAAGATCTTGCAAAGCGATTTAATGGTGATCCAATTTCAGAACAATCGTAAATAACTGCGAAAAATTAAAGAAAAATTATTCACGGACCAAATATACCAGAAATTAAAATTACCCATAAAATCAGCAGTGACTGATAAAGCTCCAATACACAAACCCCCAAACGCAGCTGCTGTTGGAATGTACCGATTTAGTTCGTGAATCATTGATTTCTCACGATGACCTCTCATCACCATTTGCTGTTCTTTTAGCTGCTTTGCTACCTAAATTTCTAGGAAATAAAAATGAAAAACAAACATAAATGCCAGGTAATCATAATTCTACTTAAATTTGCTTAGAAAATAATAAAACAAAACTCACGTCTTTTGCGCTACTTCCAGACACATCTATCCATGTTTTAGAGAAAAATGCGCATGAACCCAACATGAAAACAATGTATACAATGCAATGCATAGGATCCTCAATAACATGAGCAAGAGTTTCTGGTGGTGATAAATAATAACAAATCCCTCCAGTAGGATATATTCTATATCCTCCTGCATCTGACCATGTACCCAACAAATTGACGAGAATATTTCCTCCAAACTTAGCAGCCAACATCTGAAATCTCATACCAACACTACTTTCGAACTTTTGTCTTTGTTTTACTGGGATATTCACAGTACAATAAAATAACATTTTAGAACAAAAATAAATTTACCACTAGAAAAAGTATATTTTCCCGTTAATACGAAAAAAATATTTTGAAAAATAATTCGGAAACTGACCTACAATAAATTACGCTCAACTGTGAAGGATTGACTTGCCTGTGAGATAAAGTACAAATTAGAAACAAGAGCTGATTGCAAAATAATTGGAATGTTGGAAGTATAAAAGAGTTTTATAGGATAAGAACTGTATTGTCCACGGTATCGCGCACTTTTAATAGGTAGATCGACTCGGAATCCCTACAAATCTATTACTATGGTATTTTTGAATAGTAAACGAGAGGATCTTTCAAGAGACAGATAAAGATAGCTTAAAAAATCCCAAGTAGCAAAAAGAAATATGTATTAGCTTAAAACCAAAGGATTAAGAAACAAATTTAACCTGGAAGTATATAACAACAGCAAACACAAGCACAGTTGCCATTAAATTCATCAAATTCGGTAAATTTGGACGATAAAATGCTTCACGTAAAGCTCGAATTTTGTCGTTTCGTGTGGCAAGGAGATGAAATAAAGCAATGATTGCGCCTTCGAATTCGGTACCTCGACCAGTATTCAAGGTAGCTGGAGAAAAAGCTTTCCATACAATTGTTTCACAGATATTTGTTGCGATGAACAATGAAATGCCTGAGCCCAATCCATATCCTTTCTATAAAACCAAATAAACAAATTACTTCTCCAAATTAATAAGCAAGTAGAGAAAATACAAAAATTTTTTTTTGGTATTTCCCTGCTATACAGTTACATCTATATTGTTATTGGATTTGTACGAAATACGTAACATTCCTGTTTGAAAGTTAACAATAGGAAGGTGGTTGTATAACAGTAAATACTATTTTGGTACATTTCTCTCGCACTAGAAGTACTTTTCACTAACCAGACATGTAATTCTTTATGCAAAAGAACTAATAAAGCTTAGTATTGACACCATCTAGTCAACCGACTAAAAAAACAAATTTAGATCACCATTTCAACTAAACTTTCAATCGACCTGCAACAATTCGTCCAGAAGTAGAACAATAAGACCAGCCACGACCAGCTGAATAACAATAAGTAGACAAATACCAGCGCCAATTTCTGTGGGGTCTCCATATAAACCAGAAGCTACATATACAATAGCCTGCCCTATAGTAATTACCATTCCAAACACTGAAAAAGTGATTTAAATAGATAAAAAGATAGAGAACATCTTCACTTCCTCTATCAAAAACTAATTTGCACATGAAATTAACGAAATTCTGCTAGCAACAATCATAACTACTTTATTTTGCAAAACTAAAGCTTACATTTTTGAGCACCATTGAAAAGTGCCCGTTCTTTCGGAGTATCTCCCACTTCAATAATTTTTGCCCCTGCCAGTAACTGCATAATTAGACCTGATGTTACAATGGGTGAAATTCCAAGTTCCATAAGCGTCCCTCTATTTGACGCCAGAATTACACGTAGCCAGTAAAAGGGATCCGCACTATCAGTAGACATTATGCCTAAAGATATTTAGATTTGCCAATAATTTATAATCTCAACAAACATCATTAACAAATTCAGTGCTACAATCAAAAACTGCTGAACAGAGAAATAAGATTATCAGCCCATTCACATGTTCTTCTCACTTATTAAATTAAAACAATAGGTTAAAAGAACAAACCGAACAGCGGTATCTGACAACAGACAAGAAACACAAATAAGGTAATTGCTGTCCATAGCATTTTTTCACGAAACTGAATTTTTCGTTCAGGTTTCGATACCTCCGGCACGAAGCCACAGAAAGGCTTCACAAACTCCAAGAACTTAACTGAAAATAAGGCGACGATAACTTCGACTCATAATAATGATGCATAAAACTAAAATAAGCCTCAACTACTACTAATTTTAATTAAGACGATCATTGTTTTTAGCAAAAACACCACAATCCAACAGCTATATTTGGTATTTGGCTGATATAATAAAAAACATTTAGTCATTTAAGCTATTCTGACAAATGAAAGATCTAGAAAGTTCTACTTAAGAAAAAAGATTAATACAGTAGAAAAAGCAGGATCACTGAACTTCAAATCTCATTTTTCCTTCCCCTACATATACTTATCATAGAAAAAACCTCAAATCAGAAATTGAAACTCGTAAATATTTTATGCTTGTTTCGGTTTGTACAAAAAGCGAAAAAAACATGTAAATCAATCCGTGCAAAGGTGCAAATAAAACTTGAGCTTAAGAAAGCTTAAATAAAGTAATTTTGAATATGAACAATGAAATCGAAAATATTAGTGCAGTAACATTTGTTACCAAATAAGCATCACTTACTTCCCATAATTCAGTAGCTATAAAGCCAACTCAGATGGCAATGAGTTGAGCAATACTGTGATTTTATTGTAAGTGTATTACTCGTCTTCAATACTATTACTGAGCGCAACTGTACTCCACAAAAAAGCTATTCTACAACAAAACTTCATAAATATTTATTAGAAGTGTAGATACAATCAGTAACACAGTTGCATTCACACTGAGCACACAGTAAAGAAATAATAAACCACTTAGAAAACACTACCCTTGTATACAATTGGTACACACCTCATATGATCACCTCAAATGCATTACACCAACAAATATTACCCAATAATGCATACCCAATCCCGCACAACTATTTCATATCGTGCCTGAAACAACTGCAACGCTCTTGCTACGAAAACTCTATAACAGCTATCCATCATTATTATAATCTCTGTTGTCATTTGTCATCATAATTATCGTCATAATCGTTATCATCATAATATCCACCATCAATGGTACAGCGTTATTGCTGTCTGGTTTTTACGAATGGCATATTAGCGTCTTGAATTATATATACATGTATATATATATATATATAACCTCAACATTTTACTTGAGTAAGCAATATTTAATATGCAGTTAACAGCACAACAATAAACAATTAAACTGATAACTGTTCTAAACATATAGTCAGGTAGATCAAACTTTTACTTACAATTCTGGTTACACAAAAATTATTTGAAAATTAATCTAAAATAAAGATCATTACTTTCTTAGGAATGCTTACTGTGCTTTTTTCTACTTCTCTAAAATTCCTTTCTATTATTCAGTTCTAACACAAAAGGTTAAAGGTTAAAATTTCCCTAATCATACAAAGAAGATGACATCCTTTTATGTGCTTCATTAATATTGAAAAACTAACTTCAGTTTACCATACTATGGCCTTCCAGTACGTCTGATGAGTCAAATTTAAAAACTATGAAACATTCAGACATAAATATCTTTTATTGGCCAAAACGTATTACTAATTCAAATTTTGTTCCATGGTTTGTGATGCTGATTAGATTCAGTAAATAAACTTGAATTTCAATTAGTATAGTGAAAATAATAAAATATCAAAAAATAAAATATATACTTTCTATAGTAATGATAAATGGTTTGTAAGTGTGTGTCAGCGCATATAAATATATATATATGTTTTCCATTAACCTGTTGAAGTAGTGTACTTCTTTGCTAAGATATGTCACATGTTTCATCACTTTACCATGTATAAGTTTTCAGATGTACCAGATGCTAATTATTATTTGAGAAGAATACGTTTTTGGAACAAGCACTGAATTAATATGAGAAAAGACAAGTTGTAGCATCTGGACGTGTCTTTAATTTTTACCACAGCTCTTGATGAAACCTGCTTCGTCGAATCTTCTTCAAGAGACGATAGAACAGTTCTTGACACTACTTCAAGTGCATTCTTAAAAGTTATACACTTAAATAATTTAGGTATTTGTTCTTTGATATCTGCAGCACTTTCTCATTTTCGCGCTCATCTGATCTATATGTTCAAGTCGGGTCATATCGATGAAACCGTTATGCATATATAATTATGTTGTTTCACATAATGATGAATGCATTTATTATATGTTGATTGTATAATGTGTAATTATTTTTTTGTCACTATAAATGTAAAAAAAGCAATTATAGGAAGGATTTTTATCATCCCTTATACCCAAAATTGATCAGCAAAGTAAAGAAAGAAAATTTGGTCCACTTTCTGGAATCACGTATTCAGTGATTTTTGTATTGCTTGACTTTTCTTGGTTTTTAATGATAAAGCATCAAGACGTGAAATACATTACTACAACTCTTTCTGCTTAGCTTTCTCTTCTAATGATTTAGACGTAAAGTATTTCTCTAGTTCCAAACAAACATGATTGTAACAGTATCCAAGAAAAAGGAAATGTAATGCCATTGCAGCAAGTCTAAATGACCTGAAATTTTATTTTGGTATTAATACTTTTGTTACAACAATTTGTCTTATTATCTATCTTTATTTTTTTTAGCATTCATAATTTCTAGTATGGAAGATATATATTACTTTCTTTACAGAAACGATAATTATTTCACCATTAATCGACGTTTCTATTTTACGACGTGAAAACATGACTTGATGAGCATAAACTTTATTTGCGTGGTTTTTATCCCCATTCTACTCGAACTTTAAACTTTGGTATATTCAAAAAGCAGCTTATTATTTTTTTTATAAAAAAAAGTTTAATTATTTTTAGATGCTAAATATCAATACTACTGCATTTTTCACTAACGTTTGAATAATTTTAACTTGAAAAACGTCTTAGTTTTGTTGGTCACTGTTAAACAACCATTAAAAAGACCAAAACAGTAACCTCTGAGATAGGTTGAGAATCGCGTATTCAGGTGCAAGTACTAAGTTGAGAAATAAACGTTCAAAAATGATCATTCCAATTTTTTGCCGGCTTAGGAAGAAAAATACACCAAAAATTCCTAAAAAAGATGTACACAGTCATTTAATTCACGCCGTATCACAACTAACTTAGTCATTGTTGAACTGTGGAAAGTGCTTATTTCTCATTTTCATTTAATTTGAATTATCATGATAAATTTTGATGTTTGTAAGTTTGTCTCTTCTAAATGTTGTTGTTTTGATTTTATAATGTACGTTGCTGTAAATAGAGGTTTATTAAATTTGTACAAAATACATGTTCACTAACTGTAGAAATCATTGCTATTTCTATACAGCATTTATAGCAGACTAGTTTTTACCTGGAACAACAGTAGATAGCATGGCAATGGCAATAAGCCGTCGTTCCCCTCTGGGTCCTAAGAACTCCCGAAGTTTGTTGTAGAAAGTAGTTGCACATATCGCTGATCCAAGCCATTCGATACATATTTCAAGAGCATTAAGTAAAACCCAGCAGATATAGTTTGAAGAAGTTCCGTGCCATGCCAAAACAAATAAGAATACCGTTATCATAGCCACGAATCGACGCAATGTGAATAATTTGCTGCTAGGATCACTCACTATTGGTATATATACCTGAAAACTATCAAAAATATATGGATATCAAGCATTTGTTTTTTACATGCTTTCAGGTATATAATATGCAAGAGAACCTGATGTTTCAGAAACAAGTAGAGGCCTCTATCAAAGCTACGCCACATTTGAGAATATTTGCTGATGCGAGATATGCATACTGGTCCTGCTGGTGGCTTCATACCATCAATGGAAGCGAACCAAGACGGAATTCCAAAGATTAATAAGTATTTCATATAAAATAATTTGCCATTTATGTATGCTATACTCGCTACTGCAACATCAAATATAGTAATTAAAAATGCTTCTGTACATGTTTTTTGTGTCTTGCTAGAAATTATTTTGTAGCTGAATTAATTATATAATTTTATTTCAGAGCCATTAGTGTTTAAAAACAGAAAACACCTTATTTCTGTTCGTTAGAAATGGTAACATATGCCACTGACTTACTTTCATATTCACTCAAGTTATTGAACTGAATTGGACTTGTAGCGAAAATTGCATGAACGTGAATGACATGTAGTATTGCTTCAAATACTATGAACCAAAGTATTATTCGTACTAGGCGTTGCAGCAAATCTCTGGAAGTTTATTTTTTAGCTCTCATAAAATATGGGGACAGGTGGGGAAAAGAAATGGGTTGTTAAACCATCACTTGTTGCATCGCTTTATAAGAACATAGAGTGATATATACATCCTTACTTTACTACAGATGTATCCAGAGACTAAGAATCCTCAAAGTTGGTAATTTAATGAGGGAAACTGTTTAATTTTTGCGCTCATTCAAATAATGAAGAGCTATTAGCTTAAAGCTGTAAAAAATACGTTACTCCGTTATCCGAATAGTTACATTAATGAGCCAATGAAATCAATCACACACTTGTAAAACGTGAGAAGTCTGGTTACTAAAGAATTCGATAAAGATGTTTAAATTTTGTAGTAAGATTTGGTTCATTTGCGATCAAAACTTACGCTCACTTATTCAATTTAGGAGTAAAAAGGTTACAAACTTTTTTAGTAGCTGGAAAGGGTAAATAAAAAGTACTTAATGAAAGAGAGCGAACCTGTAATTTGTGCTTTTCGAATAACCTTTTTCAATTTCTGTCATTTGCGTATCAAAGTCATTGAACAATACAATCAGTATGATCGCATATGGTGGATAAAATAAATATTGAGCATAGCGATAAAGCAGTGATGAAGTGATGTTTGTATCCTTATTACGCGACAAATGTATACAGAAATTAAGAATCTGCAAAGTAGGTAATTTATTGAATGAAAAAGTTTTAACTTTTATTAAGAGAAATGGTAATTGTAGCTTTTGTTAAAAAAAACAGTTGCATATTTTGTACACATCAAGCAAATGAGTGAGAGAAGATATAGCCAATACTCACTTTGATAGCGCTATATAAATAATAGTTGAATTCCCTATAGTGGACGTCAATAGAGTCATTGAAGTGTATAATTAAATTAATCTTCACCATGAATGTTATGATTATTAACCAGAAAATTAGTTCTTTGCGACAATAATAAGCTAAGATAGCCATTAGCGCAGCCAATATAGACACAGTTATGGTGCAAGTAGTGCTGAAATTTGCTTGTTTTTGAAAAAGAATTTTGGAGTGAGAAAAGAAGTGCTGAATTCTGTCGTCTATTACATATATGTAGACTAAATTAAAATGGTGTAATTTAAAAAAAGGAAAGGGAATGAAAGTTTTAATACAGAGATTCAAATTGAACTTTAAAATGAAATAAGAGAACTTTGTAGTGTCATTCAAACCTGGTAAAAAATATCTGCATTATGATCCAACATATCAGTATCAAAGACCGTGATAACTGTTCCGGCAAAAGTACACGACAGAATTTGAAAACCACTATAATTATAAAAGAAGTCAGTGGGAGTTTGTGTAAGGATTTGTTCTAGAAGAAAAGTGAAAAGATTAAATAGAGTTAAAAGTAACTCGAAAAAGTACCCGTATGAGAAATACTTGTTATCAGTATTCGGCTCAATGATTTACTGTACAAAGACCATTCGGAATCAGTACCATCTTGTTGCAACCCATTTATGAACCTGGAGTTTTATGTAACACTAACAGTGGATCATTTATTTAGCATATATTAGTCCAGGGTCTAGACTTGATCATATCAAGAATTTTGATTTTTGATTTATCAAAATTTTAATTTTTTCAAATATCCATTTTACTTTTAAGAAAACAAACAAAGCTTAGAAGGGAATGAAAAATACACAATAGAAATATGATGTAAAGATGAAATTTCAGCACACAATATTTCACTACTTCTCGCATTATTATAGCAAAATAGTAAAAGAATGAGCGAAATTTTACAACAACGTACTTGCTTGGCTCAAGAAATAAATGAAGACGGAACTTGACAGAACTATTCCAAGCAATGTAAAGTGCGAGCAAAGAATGCACGATCCATACCAGTGAATAAAATAAGATTTCCATTTTAGGTAAATGAGCAGTTGTATTCCTTCGCTCTGACATTTTTTCTTAATTTCATCGAGAATTTACTTAGTCAGCCATAAACACACATATATATTTATTTATACATGCTTACATTTGGAGCGATAATTCTATGGAAATTGCTTACCTCTCTGAGCAAATATCATTTTGGTCTGCACCGATCTAGATGTACATGAATATGCATAAAAACAACAGATAATGAATGACTTTCAATTTATTCACTTTAATTATTTCCTCTTTTTTTCTTCTTTTTGTGCAAGCAGCTGCAAAATATGTTCAGATTCAGTGTAGAAATGCAATTCTTTGACAATTTTAGCTTATTTTGCTTCCACTTTTATCATCTTAGCTATAAAAGCTCATTGCATAACTAATTTTATCAGAAACTAATTTATCCTCTCTTGTTAATATATTTCTGTTCTTCCGTTAATCATTGAGTATGCAAGAAAGCAGTTTGTTTCGCTCCCCTGTTAGCGAAACTGATATGGGTGATCAGTCAGTCAGTATCACTCAAGGCAAGCAGTTTTCTGCATTATTATTCTACTACACTGCTCGTTTAATGAAACTAGTGATTGTTCGACTAGAGCGAGGTAATTCAAGCAGTTAGTTGTTCATTACAGAAATGTTTCATTACAACTCTAACAAACTTACTTAACATGCAACTTACACAACAACTAAACACCATAATTCATCTAATTAGCTAGCAGTCTTGATAAAGCGTAAAATTAGCAAGTTTGTTTTTGAACGTAAAATACTGCGAAGTAGAAACTGAAGTGAATAACTACCGAAAAGTAATAAGCGACGAAAAAATGGTTGCTTAGAGTATAACATGGCAAATACATGTGAAGCATTAGAGGATTTTTATTTCCTTTTTTCTCAAAAAGACAGAAATTGCAATAAAATTGTGACTCTAAGATCAATAACAAAAGAACTGCTGAAAGGCAAGCAGTAAATGAATAAATGAACAAATAAACAATTGTTATTTATTTATTTTTCATTTATAT